GGGCTCCCGCACTGGGCGGGAAGCTGCGGCACCTTCTCCTCCTGGTAAACGTGCCCCCGTGCTGTCCCGGAGGCTCACAGTCAAACCTAAGTTACAGGTGTTCGGCCAGTTTGCTAGACTACCCAAAAGATAAGAGTGCGTCATAGAAGCAGGTAATTAAAACTCACCTGATTATTACACTATCCTATACGTTGCATCAGTGCCCCTTACGGTTATCTTAATATCCCAGTGACAAATGCAGACTCTGCCTGTCCTTTTCCCCTTCCCAGAGCTGGGTGGCAGAGAAAATAGTTACCCAGGTTTTTAGCACTAGGAGGTACGAGGCCAGTACAGGAATAATGTATGCTAGGTTAAATGTACACAGCTTTGTTGTTGAACGTGAGATCCAAATTAACCTGGCATAGTCTTGGAAGTGAACTGTCACGTCTGGGTGCTTCTGTGGCCTCCTTTCTGACTCTTCCCCCCTAGAGCATTCGTGAAACGCTTAGCATATAACTAACCTCAAGCTGTTTACATATTTGCAGGTAATCCATGGCCGAGATGTCACAGGGGTTGCTGTGCAGATCCTCCTAACAAATAGGCTGCTTTTACTATTTCACTTTTATTCTTAAACTCAAGGACGCTTTGCCTAAATGTGTTCACTGCTGGCAGTGCTCTTGGTGCATAAGCCAGAGTATTATTAATCCTTTTGTTCTCTCCAATTGCTAAGTATTTTCAAAGTCAGTTTTTCCAGTAATTTTTCCTTAAGTGACTTAAGGCTTATCTTTACTGCAGAACAGATTTCAAGATGAGAGATAGGCTTGAATTAATGTAGAAAAAGCCCCTATCTTGAGTTGCTATCTTGAAGAGAGTCAAATACAGCATATAGCAGCTGCAGAGCTATGCTGACAAGCAGCATGTGCAGCTCCATGCTTCTCTTGCCATGTTCTCTCTGGTTGTGTTGCTTCAAATGAAGTTCTCCCAAGGGTAAGTCACGACACAGCTAATTTGGGACTTGGCTTTACTTTCAAGTGGTTATGTTCTCTTTCAGACGTGCCCTTTAACAGCTGCTTTATCGTTGACCTAACTTGGAAATGCTTCAGGCACTAAATCCAGCGTTGTGCCTGATGATGGTGTGGGAAACAGGCTTCAGGCTCCCTGGTGACTCCATACGTCTAGCCTAGGTCACTGGATAGAGCTCAAGATGATCAGTTCCTCCCTGAGCAGTTCCTGCCTTGTTTTTCCTCCCATCCACAGGACCATCTGTTTTTAAACTGAACAAAAATGCAATCTTTGTACTATAATCTTGTTTTAATGGCTCTTTCATCTTTCTTATAGCAGAAATTCCTTTCTTAGCCAGTCCCTAATAGGCACTCTAGTTCAATATTTGACAAGCTTACAGTTGATTTTTCTCCTGTTTCTGTCAGCTGGATGTATTCTACTGTTGCTATAGGCCTTGTAATTTTCCCTTGTTAATGCCTGCCTTTTCTGAGCGACATCTTCTCTAGATAAGGAATATGGATGGTGATTTCTCCTCACTCCTAAGTCTCTTCCAACTCATTTTGATGATTACTGCCTGTGACGTAATGAGAGAGGCCAAGTTTCCACATCAGTCGGAGGGGAGAGAAGACATGCAGCGAGTGAGCTTTTACCTACATTTTGGGAAATTAAATAAGAGCATTACAAGCTTTTCCCCTTGCCCACTGTCTTCACTTTTATGGTCAGGGCAATCCCAAGCATAAATACAGGCTGGGCAGAGAATGGATTGAGAGCAGCCCTGAGGAAAAGGACTTGGGAGTGCTGGTGCATGAGAAGCTCAACATGAGAAAGCCAACCATGTGCTGGGCTGCATCCAAAGGAGCGTGGCCAGCAGGTCGAGGGAGGTGATTCTGCCCCTCTGCTCTGCTCTCGTGAGACCCCACCTGGAATATTGCCGTCAGCTCTGGAGTCCCCAACACAAAAAGGACATGGAGCTGCTGGAGTGGGTCCAGAGGAGGGCCACAAAGATGATCCAAGGGCTGGAACACTTTTCCTATGAAGACAGGCTGAAAGAGTTGAGGCTGTTCAGCCTGGAGAAGAGAAGGCTCCGGGGTGATCTTATAGCAGCCTTCCAGTATTTAAAGGGAGCCTAAAGGAAAGCTGGAGAGGGACTTTTTACAAGGGCATGTAGTGATAGGACAAGGGGCAATGGCTTTAAACTGAAAGAGGGCAGATTTAGATTAGATATAAGGAAGAAATTTATCACTCTGAGTGTGGTGAGGCACGGGAACAGGTTTCCCAGAGAAGTTGTAGATACTCCATCCTTGGAAGTGTTCAAGGCCAGGTTGGATGAGGCTTTGAGCAACCTGGTGTAGTGGAGGGTTTCCGTGCCCATGGCAGGTCTTCAGGCAAAATCTTCTACATATTCAAATGACTGAATAAGTAGAAGCTAAGCCATTTTGTCTCCAAGGTATTTTTTCTGGATATTTCAAAAAGGAAAGAGCTTTAGAAGAGCCAGGCTTATTAAATTGAATGTACAAGTTAATGTTTTTATTTCCCAGTTAGTGGTATCATCAGATGGCCATGAGCCTGTGCTTGCTGGTTTTTGGGTGCTAAATACCATTTATCTAAACTGAGGAGGATGATTTATTAATGGATTGACTGAAGTGGAATGGAAAGTGAAATTGAAAGCATTCACCCAAGATTTATTTTAGGCAGACCTGAAAAGCCACAATACTGAAAAAAAAAATATATCTTACTTTTCTTATTCTCCCCATCCTGCCCTGTACAGCTCTTCTGATGTGAGGGCTTTGACTGTTTGGTTCAGAGGTGAACAGCATCTTTTACAGTTATGTACAACTGGTATCATCATTTCTTGGTCAATCTTCGCCTTCATGAAGGCACATGGCACAGGATCTAAATACACTCATCAGCTCCATTAAAATGCATGGGGAGAACGTTAGAAATCCTTCCACCCAGCTACTGGAAACGTCACACCAGGTACGAAATTAGTTATCAGTATGCTTCAGGTCATAGGTAACTTTCACCTATTGGTGCTTTGCAGAGCTGCTTAGTATTCTCTCCTGCCGCAATTCCACTGTGTTGCACCAGAAGCTCACAGAATTTGAAAGTCAACAGGCCACACAGACCCATCAAAACTTACTGTAGATAGCTATGTATTTCCCCTTACTATTTAGATTTAAGGAAATTTTCTTGACGTAAGTGTGTAAAGGTTAGAGATGCAATATCATATGCTTGTTCTACTTTTGTTGTCCCCTAGTCGTCCATTTCTGTTTCTGCTTCTATCCCTTATACTGCATTCTTATGTACTTGGCTTTGCAGAACAACCTGGGCAATAACCCTCTGCTTGGGGCAGTGTTTCATTTTTCTCTTTTGCAGGTGTCAGATATTCATATCAGTAAATTTCGGGATCCCAAACGAGCTCCTGACTTCGAAAAATTCTGTTCTGAAACAATTGATATAATTCAGCCAGCACTTGTTCTAGCAACAGGTGAGCAATTCGAAAGTGTGAAAGCTCTTCAAAGGAAGACCAAATAAGCAAAATTCTAGGATCTCAAGAGAGAATTTCAAAGCCATAAGGTATCTTAAGCAATGGAAATGGAATTGCAGCTGAAGATAGACTGCTAGAAGCCGAAGAGAATAACTTTTAAAATCAAGAGAATTAGTTTTTGTTCAATGTTATGAATTCAGTGTGTATTGTATGTAACAAAGACATAATTATGCAATATGGCTGTTGTTTTCCCAATATTTGTTGCTACATCTTAGTCCTTGCTAGCAGCTACCTTCCTTATTGTCCACCTGGTTGTGATTCTACATCATTGTTTGTATTAGAAATTACAGAAGTAAGCAGCATCTCTAATTATTAGTCATTACGAGCCAGTTCCTCTCAGAACAATTCACTTGTGAGCTGACATAAGATTTCACTGCATTTCCATTTGAACATATCATGCCAAGATAGGAGAAATAAGCCTTGCCATTTCATTTGATAGCTTGCTGTTGCTATTGAAATGAATTAAGTTTTGGCGAACAAATCAAAAAGACTTTGAGCCATTACTATGGCATAGTAATGCAAGGCTTTAGAATCTTAATGCTAGACCTGGACTTTTGTTTCTCCAGAGAGTTACTTATCTGCTACTTGCTTTTTAAGTTAAGAGTTCAGAAATAGTTAGCATTCATCTTTTAACTAGCAATGCAGGGAGGCGTTACTATATCAAGAGAAATGGGAATGGTGTGAACTTTAATAGGAGCTTGAGGGGATACAGAAAGCATGAAGTTACAGCTGCTCTGACTAGAATCTTCAGGTATAATGAACGCGTAACAATTTACTTTGGCATGGCATTAGAAATGTGCTGCAATGCCTTGGCTGATAGATGTTCGAAGGCGCTGCTACATCTGCTTTAGAGGGCATTTACACTTACAGTAACCTCTTGGACCACATGGCAGGAACATCCAGATTGCACACAGGAGGCCTGCAGCCACTTACACTAGGAGGCTTGGATTGTGTGCTTGCCTACTTCCAGTATTTGTGTGAACTGTGTAGGCTTCTAGTTATATCTCACCTTTGTTCGCTTTCAGGTGACCTGACAGATGCTAAGACAAGAGATAAACTGGGATCTGAGCAGGTAGAAGTAGAATGGAAAACTTACCAGTCAATCCTGAAAAGATCAAGGGTCATGGAAAAAACCAAGTGGATAGACATCAAAGGGAATCATGGTAAGAGGGAAATGAGACATCTTTTCTTTTTCTCTGATTACAGAGCTGACTTAGGCAAGTTAGAATATAGAGATAAAGCATTGGTACTTACTAGCATTTTAGTGGTGGTTGTCAGTCAGTAGAAGGGCTTGCCATCCGCATGTCTAGTCTACTGAGGGCACGCTTTGTTTACAGGCACTTACTGGAATTTTAGTACCAGGGAAGTAAGAGTCTTCATTTGTTGCTTTTACCTGGCAAGTGTTAGAACGTAGATTCAGATGTTAGTTTCCAAATCATTAGTTTATATACTCCATCTTTTAATGGAAGTACAAACTATAACCTTATCCTACTGAGCAAATGGTTTCAATTTACTTTTCATGGACCTCCCTCCACAGGTTTAAGTTGAAAAGGATCATCAATTAAAGGAAATTTGGTTTCTTTTCAGTAGAAGTTTGTACATGGAAGTTTGTATACTTCATAGTTGTCGCTACATTCTAAGCATTCAAACACAAACTGACAACCTTGAAGGCTATGTAAGCCGGTTGTTACAGGAAGAGCAAAACTAGAAAGCCTAGCGCTGGGGAAAAAAAAAGCGCGTGCTTTGTCAGACACATCCTGTATGTGACATTTTACTCCCATTTTCCTGTCAGTCTTTTGTTACCAGCGCCTTAATGGAGAGGTGGACTCCAGTTGCAGTACAAATCTCCCCAAGTTGTTATCTGTTTTACACATGCTATTGTCTGATGATATTGCTACTTTATTTTCCTTGGATGAGTTGGGTCTTACAGAGAATGCACCCAATCCGAAAAGCTTCTGAAAAGCTTTATGGCCAAAGTGGAGACACATGGCTAGCTTTTAGCTGCTAAATGACAATTTACGTTCCCACAACAACTTTATGTTTGAATTGAAACTTGAATGAGAAAACTATCCCCACTTTCGGTCAACTGCATCAAGTATATGTCTTCTCTGCAAAGTTAGACAGTCTGCTTGTCAATTATGCATTTTTTTAAAAAATAGCTCTTCAGTTCCTGCCGAGGCTGCTTTGTCTCAACATTAGGAAATAAAATACAAAGGTCAATGATCAATTTGATCTGAAAGTTTGTTCATTTCCTTTTTCTTTCCCTTGCAGATTCATTCAACATTCCACACCTGGATAGCGTTCAAAATTATTACAGGTACTTTTATTTACCATACAGATTGTAGAATCATAGAATAGTTTGGATTGGAAGGGACCATTAAAGGTCATCTAGTCCAGCCCCCCTGCAGTGAGCAGGGACATCTTCAACTAGATCAAGTTGTTTAAAGCCCTGTACAACCTGACCTTGAATGTTTCCAGGCATCTACCACCTCTCTGGGCAATCTGTTCCAGTGTTTCACCACCCTTATAGTGAAGAATTTCTTCCTTCTATCTAGTCTAAATCTACCCTCTTTTAGTTTAAAACCATTACCCCTTGTCCTGTCACAACAGGCCCTGCTGAGAAGTTTGTCCCTATCTTTCTTATAGGCCCCCTTTAATGGGGGGTGGGGAGGGCGGCTGCAATAAGGTCTCCCTGGAGCCTTCTCTTCCTCAGGCTGAACAACCCCAACTTTCTCAGCCTGTCTTCATAGGAGAGGTGCTCCATCCCTCTGATCATCTTCGTCGCCCTCCTCTGGACCCAGTGCAACAAATCCATGTATTTGCTGTGCTGAGGACTCCAGAGCTGGATGCAGTACTCCAGGGGAAGTCTCACCACAGTGGAGCAGAGGGACAGAATCACCTCCTTTGACCTGCTGGCCACACTTGTTTTGATACTGTTGGCCTTCTGGGCTGCGAGTGCGTGTTGCCGGCTTATGTTGAGCTTTTCATCCACCAGTACCCCCAAGTCCTTCTCCCCAGGGCTGCTTTCTATCCCTTCTTCCCCCAGTCTGTATTGATACCAGGGGTTACATTCAAGGTCAAACTCGCTAAACAACATTCTGTTTTCTGTTATCAGATATATGCTTTTTCAGTGACTTTCCTATAGTCTGGGATCATATTTGCTATTCCTTCTGTCATTTCCATTGCCAATTAGTAGAGCAGAATTGATTGAGAAAATAGAGAATTCTTTGCACAGACTTCTTATCTCTTATTCCTCTGTGTTTTATAATTGAATATATTGTAAATCTGCCTGCGTTTAGGAAATGTTCTGTGCATTATGTGTTCAGTTTCCTCAGAACAGTTGTGTGGTATGTTTCTGTAAAACCAATGTTCCCAAAGAATGCTTTTCCTCCTTAAAACAGATGAAAAAAAGAAAAAGAAAGCAAGAGAAAACTTCACTTTTTTACATGTTCTTTCTGCGTGCCCAAAAGGGCTTTTCATGTAATATGGATCTAAATTTTATCTGAGCCATTTCTTCACATCGGAGTCATTTTAGAAAACTGAAAGTAGAGAAGCAAGAAGGCAGATGACGATGATGAGTGGACAAATCTTGAGGAACATACTTGAGATTTAAATGTGAAGATAGGTGAGGAAACTTTCCCCTCTTCAGCTGGCTCTTTTGCTTGTACATTGTAAAGGTAGCCTCAGTTGTGACTTGTGTTTAACTTCTCAGTTTCTCCTGTCCTTCACATCTGAACACAAAATCTTATCTCATAATTTTGGTGGTGCTTTCAGCTTTGACTCTTTGGAACTGGAGGAGGACTTGAATTTCTACTTCAATTCAGGCTCTTAAGCCACTTTTCAATAAGAACACAGATTAAACATCTGATAGTTCAGTTTGCTTCAGTTCCCTGTGGCGCGGCAGGAGTAGATATATTTTCCCATAAATTCTATGGGATAGAATCTTACAGTAGCTGCATTTGCAGGAGAACATGGAATTCACATGTGGATTTACCGCGAAGGGATGAATGTATGGTGCTAACAAGGCTTTGGATGTGCTAGTGCAGTGCACACCTCTGTATCTTTTGCCACAGCTGGGGCTAGATGACAATCTAGAATCAATCTTCCACTCTAGTTTAAGGCTGCCATCAGAAGTGCTAGTGACATACACGGTAAAATGTAGCACCAGTGAATTTGCCAGATTATCCCCGAATTGTTGTTTTGCCTGTACAAGCTTACTGTTTGGAAAGATGTACGGATCACCTGCCTCTGGTCCACACTGAAGATGCACTGATAGCAGAAGGGATTGGAAAGGATTAGGGTGAAATTTCAAAGCAATTTCGCCAACCTAAGAATTTGTGAGTGAAATTCTGAGTCAGGTGAAAAAGTCTTTGCCTATTAATTAATAGTCTCTTGCTAAACAGACGTGTTCTCACAGTGGTTTTTGCTTCATTATAATCTGTCATAGCAAAATAAAGAAACTTTAATGACATTTATCATACTTTCTATCTAAGACTGAAGAAAGGCACTAAGAGTCCTCAAAAGCTATTAAGCATCACTAAAGGCAGAACTATCTTTACAGGGACAATTTTATTAATCTGATGTATTAATAAAATACAAAGATTAAGAAAAGTTTCAGTAAACATGCCACACTCTAGGAAGAGAGAAAGGAGATGGCAAAGTGAAATAGAGTCTTGTGGAAGCCTTTTCTTCTCCCTCACCCTTGTGAAGTTAAGGAGTCAAAAAGACAATATTTTTTATTTGTTTGGGTTTTTTGTCTGAGCGACGGTACGGCAGTGTCTGCTTGCCTCTATGTGATTCCTGAACAAATTATTCGTTCTTTGCTGCACACCTTAGAGTGCTGTAGCTTGCAGTTATAAAAATGGAGGCTAGGGAAGACAGTTATTCAACACTACAATCTGATGTTCATTATGTATGAAAATTGAAGAAGGCAGCAGTTGTATTAAAATACAATATTTTTACACAAAAACATGGGTTCCTATTTTATGTCCACAGCATGAACAGAGGATAATTCAACTGTTACGCATATTCTAAGTGGGACTAAAGGCAGACATTTTAGGATTATGATACTGAGCTTCTAGTTTTCTTATTGAAGTTCGTGATGTTCATAAAAGTAACATTAACTTCAAAAAAAGTAAACATTGTGAAAGGATCTTTATGGCATTGGAAGTATTGATTTGTTTCTGAAACTTGTTTTTAATACATTGGCTTTTATTCTGTTCAGGTCAACCTTTCTGGCAATTTTATTGTTTGTTCTGATTTGTGGAGGAATAGTGATGATGCTTTCTGGATGGCTGTGTTCAAACTATACTCATCATCTGAACTCAAGGATGTTTTAGCTTCCACCTATCATGCAGGAAGTTTTAAAAAAAAAAAAAAACAAACCCCAAACACACACAAAAAAAAAACAAACCCAAAAGAAAACAATTAAACGCAGTAAGTTTTAGTTAATCTCAGATTTACTCACAATCATTTTAATTACAGAATTTAATTCTTAATTGAACAATTTAGTAGTACCGTCAGTTGGAATGTTATCTGTCATTGCCAGTGGAGGATATGTGCAATTCCCATTTAGTATAAAGTATCAAAAGCGCTTCAATTTTAGAAGTTAGAAAAACAGAAAATATATGTTGTAAATGGAAGGAGAGAAAGCAACATATATATTCATTGTTACATGTATTTATCATAGCAAATATTAGCATAAAACCATGGGGAGGGAACATGTCTTTTAAGGCCTTCCCTGTTTACAGTTATCTCTTAAAATATTTTAAGATTAAGATTCAAGAGCTCAGTTAACATCAGGTAACTTGCAAAAGAGCAGCAACCCTTTTTGCTCTCTCCTTTTACTCTTTGAACAAAGAGTTCTGATGACATTCCACAGGTGACAGGAGAACTGGTAAGATTCACTATGTCAAGAAACGGAAAAGAGTAATAAGCAAGAGGAAATGCTGCCTTCTTTGCCATGTATAAGATTTGGTGTCTGTTTTGAATCTTTTGGAAAATAACTGAAAAGGTTAAATATTTCTTTAGTTCAAAATCACAGTCCATTAGCCAACAGCTGATAATTCTACATCAGAGTAACTTAAGAGATATCTAACAAAATAGTGGAGACAAGACTTGATGTCTCTGATATTTCTAGGTAAGCAAGGAAAAACTCTTTTTGAAAAACTCTTTCAGATACCAACAATAAACACAAGACAATATTTTTTTTTTTTCCCTTTCCAGATCTCCTTTAATTAAGAGTGGTGTGAGATCCTGCTGTCCTGTCATCTTGTGTATTTGTTTTGCATTGTTCATGGTGCTGGCCTGTCCTTTATCCATAAAAAAGTACCATGTTGCTCAGGGAAAGCATATTTATGCTTTTTTTCAATGTTTGTGTGCTAACCTGCTGCTTGTCTTAACACATGACCCATGTAATGCATCTTCTTTGAAGTACAGACTCTTCAATGCCATTGATTTTTAAGAAGAGGCTTTACTGCAGTAACAAGATGGGGCTAGATCTAATGCAAGCACTTACACTATGCAAGTAATTTTTGTCATTGCTGCAAGCTTTCCTAACAGCTATATTTCAATTTTATTTTGGCAGGAAATACTCTGCCTGGCGTAAAGATGGCTCTTTCCATTACATCCACACCACCTCTTTTGGGAACTATTCATTCATCTGCGTGGATGCCACACTCAGCCCAGGCCCTAAGAGACCCTATAATTTCTTCGGGATTTTAAAAATGGTATTTTATAAGTCTTGACATTCTGTTTTGCTGGCTGTTTTACTACTGTAGTGGTTTGGTTTGGTTTGTTTGTTTGTTTTTATAAAGAAGAATTGTCTAAAGATTTGTGTTCATCTAGAAGAGTCTTTAAGTTATTTTAAGTTCTTATGCATGTGGGACATTTATTTAGAAAAATCAATGTCTCGCTTCACGTATAGAATATCTGTGTTTTCTCTCTCAGGAAATAACCCAGTACAAAAATGTCAAATTAGACATTTTAAGGACATTGTCAGTAGTTTCTTAGCATTTAACTAGACTTGAATAATTGCCTTGTATGCTGTAAAGTTCAAAAAAAACCAAAACCCAAACTTTCTAATTTCACTCCTTTTTGCTTTGTTAGATGCTTTTTTTCATTAATATTACAGATGAGAGAGTTGCACTTATCAGTGGAATAATGTGAAAGATAATGCTATAAAGAAATATGTCATTTATGAAGGTGAGGTCTGATCTTCTGAGACCATAAAAATTACTTGGTATTGTTTTGAAAGAATAACATTAATCCCAATGTTTAAATCACATATCAGCTTAGATAACATTTTGCTTCCCTTTGATTTTTCTCTGAAGTTTGTTGATACGTGATTGTTCTTGAGATACTTCTTCTGAAGCATTGGCAGAGAGTTACTGTGTTCTGGTAAACAGCTGTCATATTTTGCCTGTGATAATGACCTCAATGAAAGGTAAAATGTTCTCCCTCTAATCTTGTCTAAAGGAGGCTCAACATTTGTTTGTCAAGTGCTTGGTGATACTTAGATGAAAGGTGATGTAGGAATGCCAAGTACTGTTCTCCTTGTTTACTGTAATCCATAGTGGGTGCAGTAGATTTGCAGACAAAGTCCCAAGGAGCTAAGAAATGCAGTTGAGTCTAGAGCTCCTATCCTTGACTGCAGTGAGTCAAGCATTTGCTTGCTAATTACCCAGCATCAGGAGTCCAGAGAGCATCATTTGCAGATTTTTTTTCACAAAAATGAAGGTAAAGGTAGATACCTATAACTTTGTTAAGAATTAAACCTCTGCCAGGAATTTGAAAAATAAATTATATTTGTATCTAGCGATTTGGTTGCATATCTTAGGTAAAAATATTCATAAAGCCCAAATTAATAAAGGCAAAGGAAATATAATTTCACTTAATAAGCCTGTTATATCAGCCCAGAATGGTATACTGAATCCATTCTTTTTTAATATACCTTTATTTCTGTTTCCTGTATTCATGCCCTTTAGCATTTTTTTTTTTTCAGGTAGGAGGGTAAAGAATATGTTGGTGGTTCTCTGGGTTACCGTAAAGATCATCTGCAAAATGCTGGAAGAGTGGATTTGTGTTCTTTTCTGGTTTTAGTTTTCCTGCCTCCTCTGTTAGACTGTAACATCTTATTGGTATTGGGAGTCTCTCTGGACAGTAAGTGGCTGATTTAATATTAGAAGTTGAACAAGTAAAGGAGAGAAATTCTACCTGCTATGTAAAGTGTTACTTTTGCTTAACTTTTAACAGCAATGGCTGAGCAGTATTTTCAAGATTCAACATCATAGTTCCTCCAGTTAAATGACTGAAGCATATGGTGCACAGTTTCTGCGGTCTGTCAGGCCCATAAAAGGCCATGGTAGCAACTCAAAAGATAGTAGGGATGATAATTGTAAGGTAAAGATGTTCATAACTTTAGGGCCACAAAGATGATCCAGGGGCTGGAGCACCTCTGCTACGAGGACAGGTTGCGGGAGCTGGGATTGTTCAGCCTTGAAAAGAGAAGACTTTGGGGAGACCTAATAGCTGCCTTCCGATACCTGAAGGGAACTTACAGGAAGGCTGGGGAGGGACTTTTGACAAGAGTGTCCACTGATAGGACAAGGGGAAATGGGTTTAAGTTGAAGGAGAACAGATTTAGATTAGATTTTAGGAAGAAATTCTTCAGTACGAGGGTGGTAAGACTTTGGAATGAATTGCCCAGAGAAGTTGTGGATGCCCCCTCTCTGGAGGGGTTCAAGGCCAGGTTGGACGGAGCCTTGAGTGGCCTGATCTAATTGAGAGGCGTCCCTGCCCATGACAGGGAGGTTGGATAAGATGATCTCTGAGGTCCCTTCCAGCCTATGCCATTCTATGATAAAATCAACTCAAGCGTGTCGTCTTTGACTGTATAAATAAGCAGTAGAAAGGATAGAAATATAATTTAGCAAAATCTTTCTTTATGTTGTACTTTTCCTGTGTTTGATTGCAAGGAAGTGTTTTTCCAACATTAGATTTTAGGGATATGTCTCGTAGTATAGTTTGTCCATGCACAGGTTCCTGAAACAACTGAGAGCATGAAGATTAATTGCTTTCTTCATTAGTTTTTCTTCTTTCCTTTCGCTATTCTTTCCAAGTCGCTTGAATGTTAAGCAGGTTTATTTGGTTGGTTGTTTCAAACACCTGCCCGTTTCAGAATCAAATGGAAGAGCTATCTTTGATGACAAAGGAAAGTCTGCACAGCAATCACACTATCTGGTTTGGCCATTTTCCCACCTCAACAATCATCTCCCCAGCCCCAGGAATACGAACATTAATGAGGTAAGATCTTTCTTTTTTTCGTGTATGTTTTCAGTCTGAAGTACGTTTCTTGCCTCTCTTCACATACTTACCTGTCACTTTTCACATTTTCTGCAGTGGTGTTTCCTTCCCACCCAAATAATCACAATTCTTATGTTCTTTTATTAGTTCTGCCACAGCCTATTTATGTGGACATCTCCATACAATGGGTGGGTTGATGCCAGCTTTGCACAGTCAACACCGTGGTGGTACCCTGGAACTCGAATTGGGAGACTGGATGGATAATAGGAGGTAAGTAAACCCTGTGTGAGCAAATTATTACATGGAGCCTACCGGGTTATACTGTGATTCCCTTTTAAGCTGTTTGGAGAATTTGAAAGAAGAGTTAGATCTGCCTGACTGGTTGTTATTATTAATGCTTTTGAAAAATGTCTCTATATGGACGTTTGGGGGTTTTTTCCCTATACCAACAGTGTGCTAATAAATGAAGTAAAGTAATTTTTTGATTCGTTCTTGATATTTAGAAATTAAAAAGAGGACATCTAAATGTCTGTTTAGTATGTGTTTAGTATTCAAAATAGACAAATAAATTGTAATAAAATTCAGCATCACTACTTCAAAATACCCATGCTCTGCACCAGCTGTTAGAATTTTAGAGACAAAAATAGTCTACCTGAGAAATGTTACCTCAGCAGCATATCAAAAAGTGTCTGATGCTACATGGAATGTAAAGTAGTATACTGGCTTTTATTCTGCAGTAATCCTGAGAATGGTACTTGTACGCACACAGGAAGAGAGCACGCTGGGGTCTTTGTCCATAACTAGAGTACCTGCTCAGATACTGTAATGTTATATCTGAATTCTTTAACATAGTCTTCATCTATCTGATTCATGTGCAAAATTCAATAGATCTTGACATTTGGAATTTTGAGTGGTGCTTCGGTGATTTATAATCAAATGAACCTGATCAGAGGTAACCAGCTGCACAGTTAATACAGCAGGATCGGTTAATATAGGATCAACTGCAGAAGAGAATAAATGGAAAATAAATCAAACAAGTTCTGTTTAGGAACTTGGGAAGCGTGGGAATCAGCTGTGCGTGCAGTAGTTTGTATCAACAAAATTTTCTTCCTTTCATTGTAGGTACCGGATCTTTGCGTTTGATCACGACCTCCTTAGCTTTGCAGATCTTAACTTTGAAGAATGGCCTGTAGTTCTCATCACCAATCCCAAATCCTTCCTTTACAGCAGTTCTGCTCATGAACCACTAGTCAGAATTCTTTATTCCACTCATATCAGGTACCCTATAATCTCATGATTTCGCAATATTTAACTAAATTTTAATAGTTGGGATCCTTCTTGGTTATAATGTACATCTTTAGATGTATATACACAAAACCTTTTTTTTCAAATGTGTGTACCCACTGTTCTCAGAAGTCACTTCTCTCTGGAAGATTGTTCCCGAGAGTGAACTTTGGATCATATCTGTGATAAAAGGAGATTATATAGTAGTAGTTTGTTTGTTTTATTTATGCAGGTGTTTCCCCTAAAGTCAATTGAACTTTTTTATGCAACCAAAGCTGGTAGAGTTAGATGAACATGTAATCTGCATTATTAATCTCACGTGTTCACATTGCTTCTGCTGATTTCAGGTCCTTGCCTGTGTATTTTTCTAAGTGTTTTCTCTATTCGCTTTGGACTTCTTAGCCTCTTGTGTTTTCAGTTTTACATGCCATATATATGAAAACAGCTTAAGCCTCTGCCAATTTTCATATTTGTTTTAGATCTCTCCATCTTTCCATTTCTACCTTTTCTATTTTATTTGTGTTTCAAATTTCTATGGCCTTTCCACCATGTTATACTTGCTGTTAGACTAATGTGCATGAAATATATGGGTGTTTTGCATACCCAGAATTACAATCAAAAGTAGTTTTTCATACTCTTCAGTTAGAAAGCAGTGCCCTACTAAGTCTATGTACTTTCCAGTTTCCTATTTAGAACCTTATCTGAACGTTCTTATGGTTGTATTAAATACATGAACTGGCAGAATCATTCACCGTAACTATATGAGACTCCTTCATTTAAATGAAACATTTTCTGGAATGCCTTTTGTATTACCAGAAATGGAAGAAATTGTACATTGTGTGCAATATATTGAGTCTATATTAGCATCACTGTTTCTCTGACTATAAGCACTGCCAGGTGATGCTACATTTGTTGGTATCTCAGATCTGTAATACCAGTCTTGCATTCCACTACACTTCTCATAAATTCAGTTACAAAGAGGTTATATTGTGACTAGCAAAATGTAAAAAACAAAACAAAAAACCCAACAGCAAAAGGAAAAAAAAGAAACACCTACACCCAGCAACAAAGGACTTTAGAGAGAGAGAGAGACTGGCAATTTTTAAAGAAGACATCTACAAATATTTGATTGTGTGTCTGTATGTGTGCAGGAAGATGCATCCCACTTGTGTTAGCAAATGTTTTGACAGCAGGAGTTCTAAGGAGTTCTGTTTCTGCCAGGACCAGGATCTCTGCCACTTTTTCATCTGTTCCACAGCCCAGTTTTCTATCCTATTCTTTGTACAATACCATAGAGAACTTCTCTTTTTAACTGTAGGAAAAAACTACCCTGTTACCATTAGCCTACAGATATTTCACTGTTTTAATTTCTAACTCTTCTGAACTCTCTAAGTATAGGTAGCATATTCTTTACGGACTTCTCTTCAGGAAGTAATGACAAATCTGCAAGTCCTGTAATAAATCTGTTTATTGTGCTGTTTATTCGCTCCTTAGAGTTCTGGCCTTCTCACCTTCTGTCATTATCTCCGTCAAAGTCTATATAGACGGAGTTCACTTGGGGAACGCGCATCAAGTGTCTGGCCCTCTCTATGTACTGAAGTGGAGCCCACAAAACTACAGTGAAGGATTCCATCACATAGATGTGGCTGTCCAGGTAAGGTACCTGTTGGCATTCTTTGTATTGAATTTCTATGTTGTCATGCCTCCGCCATCACCCTTCTGCAATCACATAACTAGGGACAAAATACATCATGGCAGACTTCCTTTCATATTGGTCCGATTACAGAAACCAAAGGATTTATTAAGCACTAACACATTTGTAAAGTATCTGGACAAAAGAAAGGATTCTTATTTTTCGTGAGAAATGCAATAAGATATAACAGTAGAGGAAGTAATTGGTCAAAAGTGAATTGTTTTGAGTAACAGGCAACAATTAACTTTTAAGGTTATCTTGGGAAAAAAAAAATAATCGGGCTTGATCAAGGAAAATAGGAAATAGCATCACGTTAGTTCAGAAGGCAAAGGAACTGGATCTGGAAAGTTGGAATGCTGTCTTTGATTATGTTTGAAGTTCTTTTCATGATCTCTTACAGGCTGACAGCAAATAAGGTTTCTGTTTCTCAGAACATCAAGCTTAACTGATATTAGTTTACTAGGTTAAAAAAAAAAAAAGTGCAATACCAAACCAAAACGATTTTCAGTGAATGCTTCTGTTCCTGGTACTGTATTTCATTTTTGTACCTTCAAGGGGCCTTTGAAGAACTCGATCATACTGTTCTAACATTCTGCACATTTGCACAATAGTAATGGGAAAGTGAGCTTTGTCCTGCTTGGTGGGACCCAGTTAGGCATTATTTCTCACAGGACCAGAGTGGTACTGCTTTTTTTTTTTTTTTCCTTCACCCCCCCCCCCCCCCCCCCCCCCCCACTTCCCGCCCCAACTTCCTTTCTGTACTGCCAGTGTTCTACCTTCTGGCTTGTTACCAGTTTCTGTGATGCTTTACTTGGGAAAGCTGCATTTTATAAGTGGTTTGGTTTTCGGTTTATTTTTTAATGATGATGAAAATATACACAAAACTGAGTAACATTTGAAGAGAATGATACAGGCCTGCATAGCAATAGTTTGCTTGCAAATATGTGCTTGTTATAAGGTTTGTTGAATGGGCTTTTAGAAAAATTAATTTCCTCTCCAGCCATAAATCACTATTACATCTACTAAATGAATAGTTTTGGGGAAGTGAAGAGGATGAAGCATTAACTTGAGTTAGTTACCTGGAGAAAATACAAATACTCGATTTCTGTACATTGTTTCAGGGACTGTCTAAATATTGTCTTAGGTGTAAACATACTGAATCATTTACTATAAATAAACCCTTCATCAGGTACTGGAAGATAAGGTATCAGTGTTACGCATGCAGAAGCATCAAACTGTTGAACAAATGTAGCACTGTTATTGTTTATCAATATCAATTTCTAGCAAATATGCCAGAAAAAGAAGCACAACAAAGCTTCAAAATATTTTAAAATGGGTTATTATCTAGAATTGAACTTTCAGAAAACAAGTGGTTGCGGTGGCCAAAAAATAGTCACTGTCTTCCACAAGTTGCTGAATCTCAGACAGGATCTCCTTCATATGCAGCACTTTCACACTACGATCTTACAGTCACCAATTTACTTGAAACTACAAAATTGACAGTAAGTAATCCTTTGTAGGTAAAAGCATTTAATATAGCAGTATGCTAGACATGCATGCATCAGTTGGATTTTTCCAGAAAAGCTGCAATGATAATTAGCAACTTTAACTAGATATTTTGTGCACTACTGATATCTAATTGCTGTCTTGCTTTCTATCAATCTAGGATGCGTCAGGAAGAATTAGCACACGGGGCCATATATTTGCTATGGAAGAAAACCTCTCTCTTAGATTTGGCTTTTGGCCATCTGTTATTCTTCTCACTGACCACTATGTTCTAGTAAGTACTTTCAGCAAAACAGCTGTCATTCCATGTTGGTTTCCCCAGAGACCGCAGGAGGCATTTTCCCACTTCCTGGTAGACTTGAATGCACTTGCTTTTTCCAGATATGACTCCATTGGAATTTCACAAATATTTCAAGTTTCCTTTCTCAAGTTGCACGCTTCAAATGTGAATGTGCAGCAATTGTCCGTGCAAACAGTTAACTTCATGGATTTAGTCACAATTGTCTGGTTTTGGGCATAAGTATACACACATTTTGTGCAGGCAAGAAATGGAAAAGAAGCTACTGGAGATAGTAGAAAAAGGAAACATTAAATCAAAGAAAACTTCACTGTGATCTGTTGCAATATGTGTACTGGCAAGAATGCTGGAAAAAGTCTCACAACAGCTGCTGACATTGTAGCTAGCTCTAGCAAAGAGGAAGGCAAAATTCCTATTGACTTCAGTAGGTTCCAGGTCTTACCCAGAAGTGTTACAGCTCAGTACGTGCAAAGGAAGCATGCCATAATAGTTTAGGTGCACTCATAGAGCAACATAGGAAAGTCCACATGACTGTAGTTAGGCTCAGAATTATTATATTAGTTTTGTTAATCAGTAACCTGTATTCTCCACAATGTCTTAAACTGCAGTTCTATTCAGCACAGCACTCAAAAAATGTTTTACATAGGAAGTATATTTACACTTTTCAATGGATGTCTCCTACAGACTCCATTTTTGAAAGATTCAATTCTATCCCTTTCAGCCATCCAACTGAATTCAAGTCAGTAAGATGCAGGTCAAATAACTTAGAAACTCTGAAGTTTCTTTTTACTCTTCAGTCCAATGACACCATCAAGCTTTGAGTATGTGTTTCAGTTAGAAATCTTTGTATCATTCTGTCGATGTCCGTCAGGCATGCTCAAAGGCAGCTGCTACTTCAGGGCTGGCTTAGAGTTAAAACTGTCTTTTCAGGCTCGTGTGCTCTTTGGACTGATTGTGCTGATTCAGATCGCCTTGCTCGTTATTTTCAGATACCTCCAAAAGCCAGCACTTAAAGGTATGAACAAATGTTTGTGGGTTTTAGAGGATCTAATTTTCCCTGAACTTTTTTTAATATCTATATGCTAACAATTTATAATTAATTGCGCTGTTAATCACCATACGCATTTTGCACCTAGTACTGTGGGGTTTGATTGGGTTCTCAGAAGCTGCTGTTCTGCTTTTAAGGGGACCCAGAAACCTCCAAAATATCAAATAAAGCCAATTAAAAACTAAAAACTTGATCAGGTATCTTCATTTAAACAAAATTCATTTAACTGAGGTTTCATTTTCATTTTCTCACCAAAGAATCCAATGCATAGGGAAAGTAATGTTTTATTTTGTGTTAGTTCTGTATGTGTGCTTGTTTCACTACAGCTGGAACAGAATTCTTTGAGCGGAGAATCAGATTTCCTTCTATAAAAATAATTTTCGTTAATCTTTGCAAAGAACATGAACAGGCTTAGGTATTTCTGAAAATAATATCAAGACCAGTTCTGTCTTAACTTGATATTTTGTTTGCCATAAATCTGGTAAATGAAAATTAATACTGTTAAGCTCGTGGTGTTTATCCTTCAAACAACTGTTTGAACCACACCTTAGTAATGAGATTTTTCTGGAAGCCACCTCCCTTCCTATTTATATCGGTGTATGTCCCTTCCTTTATGCCATAATCACGTAGCATCCTGAGGTAACTACAGCAACTGCTTACATGGAAAAAGCATAGATTTTCAGTTGCCTTTATAGAACTCAGCAGCTAAAAATGAAAAGAGCTACTCTGTGATCAGCTAAGTCCCTGTAGACCATGACAAATGTTTTACAAATTACTGAACAAATTTGTTAGAGCTGTTGATTTCCAAAGGTCAAGCTTGCCCTCTGGGAGTTAATGCTTTGTGAGAAGGGGAGCCGCATAATACATGAAACTCTAAAAGCTAATTTTTATAGGAAGGCTCTCCCGATCTCAATCTATGAATTGTCTGCTTCAGTTGGAAAATGAATGTTGCTTTTTTTTGCTAACATCATGCATTTGTCAGAATTTTGCCATTTTAACACATAGCCTTCATTTTATCTGAGTTGTTATCAGATCTCACCAAGTAGATTTAATCAAAAAAAATCCAATTAATCTAGTCCATGCTGACCTGCCTTTGTGGATTTGCAGAGTTGCTGGTTTGAATCTTCTTACTCTACATTTAATATGAACTTTCTCCATCTTTTTCATTCTAGTTAACTTAATTTTCTGGGTGTAGAATGGTTGTTCAGTTTTGTTTGCATAGAGTAGATGTACTCATTTAGAATGGCAGCTTATTCTCCTGTTTTTAACATAGATTGTTATATTTACCACTTCTGTACTTTCAGTTATCACAGTAATAGTAGAAATGCATTCCTTTGTGATTGTTCTGTAGACATACTAAATACTATATTTCTTATTTAATAGAATGAGTAGATAATGTGCAGATTTGTTTCAGAATGACCAATATATTTATATATTTTTTTATATATGTTGCAACCTAAATTAAGTGTATTTTTCTTAAATGTTGTCTCTGTTTAGCAAAGCCAGGATTACTTACTCTGACCTCGTATTCCCTTCATGTCTTCAGTAAAACTAACATCTTCTATTACTCAATTCTGGTTCTGAATTTATACACCATTCTGGGTAAGTAAGCTAGAGTACTGGAGGACATAAATTAGTATTTTTAAATTACACATCAGATCCTGATGAAAAATGAGACTTCTGACATCTTGGAAAACGGAGAAAATATACTTAAGTTACAAAATCTATGGAACTTGAAAAGTCAAATGTCTGAAGAGACTAAAGGTTTGTTTGTAAGAGTCTAACTTAGAAATCTTAGAATTATTTAAACAATTAAATTACTCTGAAATCAAAGTGAGCATTTTTAAATTGAAGTTGGTTTTCACTTATTCTTTGAGTAAGATCTGGTTGTACCTTGGTATAAAATAAGTAGATGGAACGTACATTTAATATGACATGTCACTGAGACGTCCTGGCTCTGATGCCTTGCTTTTTTTAATAATTTTTTTTTTAATTTTAGCTTATTTCTCCTCTGATAACATGTTACTAAAATAGCTGCTTTCTTGGCAGTCAGTGTAGTACGCATAACATAGTGCAGCCTGTCCCTTTTGACTTCTAAGCTGAGCCAAGCTGGAATTGTTTATGACCATGGCTTTCATATGTCTTACTGTAATTCTGGGGAAGGGCCAGCGTTTGAAAGGATCTATCTTTTCACTCCTCTCATAAGGACAATGTTATATGTGGTGTTGAAAATTGTCAGAGAGATGAAACCAGCTTAAAAGTATTTTCACTGCATGCCACAACATCATTCGTGTACCACGATGTTTTCGCATCAGGAACGTTCAGCAGATGGATGTTTGTTGAAGATGAAAACGTTAGGCTTGTTACTATAGACAAGCAATAGAGAAGTCGTTTTCCCCAGTTAACCGCTTTGCGCTCAGCAGTACAAAGGGCCATGTCTGTGTGGTGTTTTCTGATGTCGCTGCATGTTTGGTTTCCTCTCTTTCAGGACCCTGGTTTGTGGGTGAACTGATAGATGGCCAAGTGGGGGCCTGTTTTTCCTTTGGGGTGTTTGTTGGTGGTTCCTTCTTACAAGGCAGTCTGACATTTGTGGTTGGGATTTTACAGGTACGTATTTATAAAAATTAAGGCTGACAAACTGCTTTCTTCTGGGAATTTTTTTCTGATTTTTTTTTTTTTTTAGTTTTATAAAGAAAGGAGTCTTGGAAGGATAGAGGAGATGAGTGGCCGTGCCTGACTACAACAGCTCTTTCTTACTTTTCTGCGTATTTAAAGGGCAGAAAGGAAGGAGGTTGAGCATTATTTTGTCAAACTTCTCTTTTCCTTTATTTGATGTTGCTTTGGACTTCCTGGATGTCTGATTAGAGGCCATCTCTACAGATTTACCACTCTACATATTTTTTTTTTTTTTTGTCCTCAGCTCACGCACAGGTTGCAGTGATTAAGCAAAACAAACTGAATGGCCAGGGCAGCCCTTGCACACTGCGTAACCCTTCAGATCAGCAGGTGTCACTCTCCAAGCACATATGAATCCAGTTTTCCCGGCAGCCTGACCTGGCTGCCCTCTTGGTATTCCCAGCTGCCTTTAGTGTGAAAGAGAGGGTATAGTTCCTTGGCATTTAAGCCAGACCAAGCTACTGTTGCCTCCTTCATGGTCCCTCCCTTATGCCAGTGCTAACACTTGTCTGACACCACAGTAGGCTGGGTCAGAGAGCTAAACTGACATAAGGACCTTTCTTTTTTACTCTGCTAGTATTTTGCCAAGTCTAGCTTCCTGAATCAGCTCCAAGAAAGGTCAGATGCATGTCAGTGCCTCCCACTGCAAGGGAGTGGACAGGAATGCTTGGCATGGACTGAGGCACAGACAGCCACAGCTCTGCAGTCTTGGAAGTGCATCCTGAGGTTCCACCTCTGGGAATTGTACTCAGCCTCTAGAATGGGACAGTTTTATGTGCTCTTATTTTTCTATGCCCTCATGTATGTTACCCAGAATGCTTGGCTTGCTTATCTTATTTTTCTCTGCTTTTCTTTTCAGATGTTGTTTTTCAACCTGCCACTAATGGCCTATCTGTGCTGGTGCCTGTTGCTGCGATGTCAGGGTCACAGCTTCCGTTCTCACATCCGTCATGTCCGACGCCTCATGGCTGTGCTTGTTCACCTGGCAATGGCACTCCTCCTGGCCTGGCAGGTCTATTCCTGTTATTTCCTGCAGCGAACCTATGGGACCTTGGCTTTCTTCCTCTCCCCAATGAGAACATGGCTGGTGGCGCTGACCTCAGCTCTGATTTATAAAACCTGGACACTGCAATCATCTGAACTCAGAACTTACATAGTAGAAATGAAAAACTGTCAGAGTTCCTAACATGCAATATAAATATTCGAAGTTCTTTGACTTAAAAACTGTTGAGGCGCAACCTATAGTTTTGTGATGCTGGAATTCCATACAGCCCAACCATTACGTGGTAAGATCTGAAGCAGAACCTGCATTGCTACAGAGCTGTATTAAATAGTAAATGTATATCTAGTTGAAATCTGCCCTTGTTCAGTTTAAAGCCATTGCCCCTTGTCTTTATCACTACATGCCCTTGTAAAAAGTCCCTCTTCAGCTTTCCTGTAGGCCCCCTTTAAGTACTGGAAAGCTGCAATAAGACCCCCCCGGAGCCTTTTCTTCTCCAGACTGAACAGCCCCAACTCTCTCAGCTTGTCTTCATAGCAGAGGTGTTCCAGCCCTCGGATCATCTTCGTGGCCCTCTGCTGGACCCACTCCAGCAGCTCCATGTCCTTTTTGTGTTGGTGACTCCAGAGCTGAACGCAGTAATTCCAGGCGGGGTCTCACAAGAGCAGAGTAGAGGGGCAGAATCACCTCCCTCAACCTGCTGGCCACGCTTCTTTTGATGCAGCCCAGGATACGATTTGCT